AATTTTATCGAGCTTATATCTCAATGATCTTACCATGTCAATGACAAACTCATATTGTCAATCAACTTTTCCTTTGAAAATATAAAATAATTTTAAAATTTAATTTTTTATAAGAGGTATATAGTTTGGATTTTGAAAGTAGTATGTTTTAATTTTTGAAAAATGAGAACAAATGGGACTCATTAGTCTAATAGTTTGGATAATTGTGTTTGATACCGTGAATACTACACCTTTCTGAAAGATAAGTGTATACCTCGACGATTGACGACGATTGACCCAATCCTGCAAACCTGCAAACTAAGAGATTTGTGTTTGGCCTGCAAACTTTTTATGTGTGACCGACAAGTTTTCCTACTTAATATAAAGATTAAGTAGAATTTATTTTAACTGGATTCGAAGTTCCCTATCGAGGCAAGTCCCTATAGTTAATTACATCCCAAAAAACGGATGTCACTTGAGAAAACTCTCGACGATGATCAGAGGTACTAGTCTTCAAGAATTCAAAATTTAGATTTTCACGGTAGACGTGGAAAAGCAAATGGGAGTAACTCAAATATGAAAAATTATTTTCAGGAGTCCAAAGGAATGAAAAGGTAAAGGACGCACATATCCTGAGGAGAACCCTCAGTGACTTCCTAAACTATCCTACTGTGTGGCTGAGTTTTGGAGACGTGGCTGAGTTTTGGAGACGATGTTATTTAGGTGTTTAATTCTGTCAATTTTATTATGTGGGACTTATATTTGCATAATACTTAAGTATGCAAATAGCCCGCAGAGATATGAGGGTTTACGTCGTACCACACAACAATATCGGAACCTAAAACAAGTTAAAACTTAAGTTGCACAACATGATTATACAGGGTTCTAAAGAAGGTATAAGGATTTACGTCGCGTTATGCGAGCTACCTCGAAGTCCTATGGGTTGTTATTTAAACTAAAGAGTGAAATGTTGTTGAAGAATATCCTCATGTTGCTCGATCCAAGCTTCTTGTCGTGCTACCCACAAAGCTGACTCCAAGCTCCTTATTGAAATAGCAATTCTAAAGTCTAAAGTTTAAAAGGTTTTACCAGGTGTGTTCCAAGGTTTTGGTTTTGTTGTCATTCAAGCATTATGAGGGGAGAAGGTAAAGTTGATTAGAGTGACACCGGTTAGGATCTCACGGTTCCCTCGTTCCGGTACTACTATTTTCTTTTAAATTTACTTAGTCTAAAGGAGTTGTGATGCTCATTTAAACTAAGGAGATCTCGTTAGCAACTGTGAGTTACCTCATCAGAGGGACTCCCGTAAATTCAAAAGAACGTGTTATGTTTTTTTTTTTTAAATGATGAAATGATGTTTAATTTTTTAAAAATGATTTTTTTTAGAGATCTCATCGGCACAAAGTTTGATGTCGTCCCTTTCGCCTGTTCCAAGGGTAGCTCTAAGATCATTTAACCCTTCGACCATGTTTACCTTGCAAAAGCACAACGAAGAAGTTGGCTTAAAGGAAAGTAATGAAACCAATTCCCTAAATCTAAGCCAAGTCAAATCATGAAAATAGTTATGTAAACCTGATCAAATAAGCTTGTTTGATTGAAGTAGATGCAAATAAACAAATGAATCAAGCAAAAGAAATCAGATAAGCGAGGGACGGTCACATTGAACTTTAAACAAGAGACATGACGCGAAGTTCCAAAAGAACAAAAACACAATTAAGTATGTTAAAAGCTCAACATTAGCAAGCAGCTTTTGATTAGCTAAGTAACTCACATACAGTTATTTCATTGCTAAAACAATTTGGATATAAACAGATATTTTGAATTCAAATATATGAAACATGTAGCATGCTTATAAATACTCCAATGCAGCCCATCCATAGTATATTTTGACATGAGAAGCAAGCTACATATATTATACACCTCTTTAGACCTTAAATGAATTCTTTGTGGGTAAGCAACCCCTTATATGTAGATTCAAGTTGTTTCAAATTAAATGAACAAGTAGCAGCAAGCCAAAGTTCCCCCTTATTTGTTAATGACTTTGACAGTTCCAAGCATTTTCAGGAAGAAATAAAGCTATTTCATGAAACTGAACTGAAGCTTTAATCCAAAAAAAAAATCAGATCCAGGAGTAAAGGCCAACATACAGTACAAATAACTAAGCGAGCAGCAAGAAAACCGAACAAGAAACTAAGCAAAAACGAAGTTGAGGACCGGTCGGTGGCTAGATGTTCATCGACGAGGGGGAGCGCTAATCTCCGGGTAGCTTCGGGCTGAAGAGGGAGGCTGCGAGCGAGGGAGCTTCGGTCGGGAGGAAAGAGAAGGTGAAGCAGACGAGTGTCGGATGCGAGTGCTTCTGTGCTAGCGTGAGAGAGAAAGGCCAGAGGGGGGTTGCTGTGCAAAGAGGAGAGCAGACGCGGCCGAGAAAAGGGAAGGCGAAGCAGGCGCGTACGGGTGAGGCGAGCGGTTTCGGGGGAGGAGCGGGGAGCGGGATTTGTCAAGAGGGAGAGAGAGGCGAGCGGGAGAGTGAAAGCAGGCAGATGGGTTCGGTGCAGAGGAGCAGGATTCAGTGCAGGAGAGCTTTTTCAGTGCAAGGGAGAGCGAAGCATGTGAGCGGGCAAGCGGTCAAGCTTCTGTCGAGAGAGAAGAAGCCCAATCCGGCCTTCGACCGAGAGATGGTGACCCGAGCGGGGGTAAGCCGAAGCAGGCGATGGTTCTACGTGAGGAGGAGGCGAGCGGAACTTCGATTCAGAGAGACGAGGCAGGTAAGAATGATTCGAAGTGACGGGGAAAAGGGATTTTTGTATCGCGCCCCTCCTTAGAGAAACGTTACGCTGGGAATTAAATAAATTCCGTTGATTGAGAAACTCAAATGGAAATGGAAGGCTCTTAACCCTTGATTAAAGTAAGATAGGGCAAACTTTCTTTTGAAATTCAAAAAATGTTTAACCTTGTTCAGCCCGAATCAAACCCGAGATGAACTTGAGTTGAGCCCGGGCCAGCGCCCGCTAATAAAAAAAAACGTGCATCGATTTTGTGTTGATTGCTCGCGCATGAAATCATACCAATATAGGTGTCAGTTTTAGCTAAAGTCGACGTTACGAATGCGCTTACGAGGTCAGTTTCGTCATTCGGGGTCGTTCGAACAAGTTTGTTGACAGTCATGTCAATTCAAGTCAACATCGTGCGTGATGCAGTGAGTGTGTAAATTGCGGCACTCGCGAGTGTTCAAGTCACAAATGGTTCACCTAAGGACTTCTGATCCTATGAAAACTCATTTTCAGGTCTTCTACATGTTAGTCCTTAGCCCTTGCAACTAAGAGTCTAGTACTAGGAACTACTCATGTGAGATCTGCACAAAAATGAGTCAACATGTGGCTCGAAGTTCTAGGAGAGGTGGGCTCTGTTACTAGTTTGCTAGGATGGTCAATAAGGAACTCCTAAAGCTAAATCTTGGGTTCTAAGAGTAGGAGACTAAGACCTCATTGAAAATGAGGTCAAAACATACATATGCTCAAATTGCCTCCATTTTGACTTGCTTGTGAAGCTACTTATCTCTTTAGTGAGTTCAACCAAAACTCAAGAAGTAGCCTATGTATTTTCCAATTGCTAAAATTCCCAAGTGTTGAATTATACACTTGACAGAGCATGAAGCTTTTTGTTAACTAATATTAACTTAAAATTGTCCCCTTAGACATATATACATCCCAAGTCTATAAAATTAACTTAAAATGACAACCCAAAGCTGCTTATGAAGATTCTTCTGTTAGGTTAAGTTGCTTGCTTCCTTTAACTAGATCACAATTCATGAAGTTAGGGACAATAGAGCCATGGGATATTTATCAAATTTATTGTCACTTTCTCATCATCCACTCTAAGTTAATGGTCGTAAATTTCCTTAATTTAAAGCCAAAATTGCTACTACTATACTCTAAGCACTTGGCATCTAATAATTAGCTTTGATCAGATGTTTTCACTCATCATTGGAAAGAATAAATAACAATGAGGGCTTGTGTCTATCAGAAACTTATAATAAAATCATGAAGTATTGACAAAATAAAGGCAAAATTTGTGGGTCGTGTCTTATTAAAATCTAATCTGCCTTTTACAAATTTGACCTAAAATCACAAACTCTCCTAATAGAGCAAAGTGAATTTTCAAAGTCGAAACTTCAAACCACGTGATTGAATAAGGATTAAAATCCTAGAAGAAAAAAAATGCTTTGCATAGCTAGAAAAAAAAAAATTATCAAGCCAAAGGTTGTTTATATAGCTCAAACATTATATATGAGAAAATAGAAACTTTTGGTTCTGAATAAGATTTCAATAAAAAGAAAGCTAGCTTCAACAGTAATAAAACTAAAAATCCCTACAAAAAGTGCATTAAGGCACAACTAGCAAAAACTAATTGTTAATAGAGAATCTCACGAGTCACATCCATAATACCTATTATGTCAACCCATCATAAGTATGTGTAAAAGTATACTATAAGTTAAATAAAGACTAATTAATTATCAACTTAACTACAATTCAAAATTCAAATTCACATCTCAAAATCCAAAGACAAATAAAGAAAAAGCATTTTTGCTTTCAGGATATAGACTTCTAGCTCGACATAACATGACCTTCTTGAACAAAGCAACGTCAGAAAGGAACCAGCCAAAAAGTTTACAGGCTCTTGAGATAGAGCTAAGAGATGCTGGCAGTAAATGCAATGCATGTTCAAAAAATTAAGTTGAAATCCAAGTCTAGAGAATGATAGGACAAAACAACAGGCAAGAGGCTGGTATAGAAACATGCAAGAACATAAAACAAGAAAACAAATTTTTCTTACACGCTCAACATTAGTTTTTATGAGACACATGTTCCAATGTTGATTCTCGAGTATACTAACATAACGAACATTTCTAAATTACAAAGAACGTATATGGAAACAAATGAGCAGTGTGGCAATGATTATTAAGAATATCAAATTAGACAAGCTAAGAATTAGTCTACCTTAACCTTACTAAGAAAACTTACTCCTTTTGAGGGTTCACTAACTCCAGTATTGGCCGCAACTTTTCACCTGCAAAATGAATTTTATATCATAAACTAAAAAAGCATGCCCTAAAGCAAGTATCAAAGGACAAATTAATTACAAAACAAAACAAACATTGAAACAATGGATTGTTTGTTTGTAAGTTAACAATTTTTTACAAATGATCATAGAGCTCATTTGTTTGTTTGTAAGTTCAAGAATTTTTCAAAATTTTTGTTGTGCACAAAATCTGTGAAAATAAAATCATCCCATTCTAAAACCAATTATCTAGAAAAGGAAACATCTATAAACTTGAGAAATTAAAACAATGGATAAAATGTTTAAAAAATAGACTCCTTACAATTAATAGAATAAAAATTAAGTACACGATATGTAATTTTAGTGGTATTTTGCAGGCAGCTGTCATTAAATATTATAAGAAGATGATACATAGTGATACCGGTGTTAACCCAAACAACGATGGAACAATGATATTATTGTTGAAATTCAAATCGACAGTCACAAACAATCAGTTGATATAGAAAAAACACAAACACAGATACCCCACTAAGGTGAGGTTCAAAGGTGGTGGTTGTGATTTGAGGAAGGGGGAAACTTGAGAGGTAATGAGAGGTTGAGTGGACGAACAGCAGCTAGGGGAAGGCTGACCTACGACTGACAGCAACGGGGAAGCCGGAAGGGAGGTAGGAAGGTGGCGGCAGCAAGGGGAGGTAGGAGTTGTAGGGTATTCTGGCAGCTGAACATCATGTTAGGTGGCTGTGAGATAGTCTGGGAAGAATGGTGAGGAAGGCTGGAAAGGTAAGGGGAGGGAAAAGGAGGCGGAAGGGAATTGCGGGTTGCTGGAAAATCAGTAAAGGGGATGTTTTCCGGTGGCGGCAATAAATACAGTGTGGGTGGAGGCGAAAGCAAGGTTGATGGAGAAGGAAAATTGAGGATAATTGTCCCCGCAGAATCGAACTATGGTCGAAGCGCCATTTGATCTTTGGAAGACGGTCACGACCTCAGACTAGCGACAACCGAAGCACTTTCTTGCCTTCAAATACAACCCTAGTAGAGAAACACTAGAAGCTGACGGCTATCCTGAACAAAAATATATGCAAAACTAACCTAGGAACAACATATATAATACTATAGTAACAAATGAGTGGCATCCCATTGAGTGGTCCGCAATCTCATGCCTCAGATGGGCCAATTGGCCCTTGGTTTGCCTAGATCGGGAGATCCCAGTTAGCACCTAGCACGATCATGTGAGACGGTGCTCGCAGGAAACAGCATAGGTGTGAAATTTTTTATTGATTTTTTATAGTGAAAAATAAAGATATATATTATATGAACAAAAAAAATAAATAAAGTTAGAGCTGAATGTTTGAGATGGACAGGTACATCAGGAGCTTTCTACAGTAAGAGAATAGCAAGAAAGCTCAAAGGTAAACTTTATAAAACCAAAATTAAGCCAATGATGTTAATGGACATGAATTTTGGGCTGTAAAAGGCCAATAATTTCTAAGCTGAATGATTGAAGTATGGCACTGCGATGATGGTTTGTAAGTATGGCGTTGTTAAAGTAGTTTTAAGTCCAGCAGAATGCATTTTTGAACCAATGACACCATATGTTGGAGAAAGTGTATAGTGTTCAGTATGATGTTATAGAAAAGTGTACAACTTACATCAGTTATTTTCTGGTAGGTGCAGCCTAGTAGGTAAAGAAAAGTACTAAAACATAAATTAGCTTAACTTTAGTCTGCGGCTACATACTAATGAAGCTCCACTGTTATAAATGTTAGGTACAGTAGTAAAATATTTGTACTTGGTCAAGTCACCTTTATGTGACCCCTGAACTGCAGCCATATGAACTTCTGCCCACTTCCAAACCCTAATGTAGCCATCATCACCACAACTGCACAAAATGGTGGTGAGAAAGAAAGAAAGCTACACGACAAGCTGCATCAAAAGCTTGTTTTTGAATTACAAATCCATATTACAATCCAGGCGCACATGCTTTAAAATGCTCTGTGCTAAGCATCTAAAAATAGGAAACCAGAAATAATACAAAAATAAAGGACTCAAACTATAAAGCAAGAGACAAACCATACAGCTAGTGGCCAATAAAATTGTTTCAACTGAAAAACCAACTCAAATGTGAAAGGCTCTAAGAACAACATTAACCAAACTCTAAGTAGCATTATTGCCCATACTGTGATACTTGGAAAATCTTTGAATAGTAGTTAAATATAAGAAAGTAAAAAACATGTGAATGCAAATATAAAAGTAATAATAGAAAAGATAACTGAAAACAAAATATAATAATGTATATTTTCGAACGTTTGTTTTACTTTTTGAATCTATAGCACAGATTTTGGCAATGTGAAGCATCGCACTATAGCAGTAAGTTATTTACAGTTTGTTAGAATTATGTTGTTTGAGTTTGGACTATACTTTAATGTATCTAATCATATTTTGTTCCCATTCATATAAGATGATCAAGGTTAAATTTTATCAATAGTCAATACATACGTCGGTTGAGTCTTTGATTCAGTACAGACTTTGTAATCGATTTTTTTGACAGGATGAAATGATTAGTATTTTCTAGTAATTATTATTTAGTTCAGATGTTCATAAGACCACATTGACATGAGACTAATTGGTTTTATTCATCCTTGAAGTTTTAAAAAAAATTCTATCACAACCTACACCTAATTTTCTTCATCCCCTCATCATAACAACCAAAATAAGATTATTTGACATCGAGAGAAAAGGCCGAGAAAAAATTAAAAGAGCTTGATCCAGGAGGGAAAAAAAAAGCCAATTAACTAGAAAGTTTCTCAAAACCTTGAAACAGCTAGACTCTATATTTTCACTTTTGAAGCTTGACAGAGGTTGCTGCCAATGCTCCCAGGATGAAGGCACTCCCTTGGCTCCAAAGCAAGAAAGATGATTGTCTCAATTTCACCTATCACGATCTAGCCTGAGGCTTGAAATTAACCAAGACGAGAACAAACAGTCATACGTTGGAAATTAAATTTCCTATAACTAAAAATTTATAATTCAATTGAAATGAAGAGCCATTAAAGAAGGTAAATTAAATTAATACAATTAAATTTATCTTATTTTTTGTTAACGTGAGTGTTATAAACATTATATATTTTATTGTTCATCTTTTACTCAAAGAAATAACATGAAATGTTAGTTTAAAACAATAGTGAGGTAATCATAGTCGGTGAATGCTCAAACTCCTAAACTATAATAAAACTTTATGTAAATCAATCTAATAGCATCTGAAGCTTTACACTATCTAATATGATCATTCAAGATGATTCTAAACATTAATTGTGTCTTACTTTATCGTTTATATATCAATATATTTTTAATTTGTACACAATCATCACAGAAGCACCGTTTAAACTTATACCTATGAAAGTACATCAATTTCAAGATCATTTTCTATTTAGATACATTGGTATCTTAGGGGCCATTTGGGATCACTTTTATTTTTTGTTTTCTATTTTTTATCTTTATTTTATTTTTTTATGTTTTGATTTGAAACAAAACATATTTAATATGTTTGAGTAAGATATGATTACTTTTGAAAATACTCAAAAACATCGAAATGTTGTTTTGAGTGCTTTCAAAAACATGTTAAATTTTTTTTTCAGAAATAAAAAACAAAAACATGTAAAAATTCCACAAAACAAATATGGTTTTTAAAAATAAAATAAAATAAAATAATGAAAGATAAAATTGATTTCAAACAAGCTCTTAGCGTTCCTCTGCCAGTACCATAAATGGATAAACTCCAACTTAGTCAAGCATGCACAAACAATCACTTTATAAGTCCATAACATTCACATTTTCATGTCATTAAATATGTAATATTAAATGCAAGAATGCATAAAACTATTGAAATGGCTAAAAAAATTCAAGAATAGACGAATCATAATGCATTAATCAAGCATCAATTACAATTCATACGATTGACTTATAAGAGATAAAAAAAATTATACTATGACTTAAGAGTACGAGTACTCACCTTAATTTCACCTTAAGAAATGATTATTCCAAGTCCTTTAATCCTCTTTGTCACAACTTATAATTTTCTCACTTGGTTATGTTTCATGATATTCTATCATAGAAATGTAGCAATTTATAGTTAAATTGACTATAAATGATTGCCAAACAAACACTACTCTTACCTCATTATCTCTTCTTCTTTTGCACAATCTGATCTTGATCTCATTGATTCTTTAATTCAATTGCTTGTCCAGACTAAAACATTGAAATTAATTTGTAAAGAATAATTTATATTATTAAAGGATAAAATTCATAGAGTCTTACCTTAACATTCATTAAATGGCTTGATTTGTCTCTTTCCAACATGAACCTTCACCACAAGCCTTCTTGCTAGAATTCCTGTTATTAATTAACATAATTCTTTATTACTATCTTAAATATAATTTAATTTAACATCATACATTTATATATATATATATATATATATATTTATTATATATATAATCTCACTTAAAAAATACTAGCCCATTTTTTTAAAGGCATGGTACAATCTTCCTTGCTCACGCACACAAATCCCCCCATCGTCTCCGTCGATTCAACTTGGTCAAGGAAGGTGATCCTTCCCTCTGGTTCGGCTCCCTCCAGAAGAAGCTGCTCATTTCCCTCACTTCCTCCCTCCTCTCACGCAGGTTTTCTTCTCCTTCGCTCAAGTGCGAATGCAACATCCTCCTTACAAACGCCAGAAAAGCACACAACGGCTTCAGTTTGGTCTTCTTGCAAGCAAGGGACCTCTTTTCCTCCCTTCTTCCTTCAGCCACAATCGCTCCCGCTTGGAGACCACAAAAGTTGCTTCGTCTTCTTCACTTGCTCGACTGCGTCACCTCCTTTGGTTTTGATCGCTATCGTCGTCGCCCTCATCGAGGGCTAGCCTGTTCGATGTCTCCTCCCGCTTGAAACCAAGGTCCTTCTTCCTTCCTCTTATTCCTCTTCCTCTTCCTCTATTCACACGTGACTCGGTTGCTAGGCTATCGCCGCTCGAAATACTTGATTAGAGTTTGGCTTCCTCACGACGTCATTGCTTCCCACTTCTTCTCCCTTTCTCTAAATCCATGTGCTTCCTGCGTGTATTCGGTAGAATGAAACGAGAGAAAAAATTCATCATTTTGATTCCCGCAAGCATCGCATCTCATTTGAACGACACAGATATCAATTTAGTTTTATTTTCTTACACGATTATTACAATCTCCCCTCATAAAAATGTTGTCATCAAATTAATTAATATATCACAAATTGCTTCTCATTAATTAGATAAAACATATATTATCCATAAATTTTCATGAAGAAATTTACATTTCACTCAACAAGATAAAACATGAATGCAATAAAACAATGGTCTACTACAAGATAACTCAATTAACTTCTCCCATCAACTGAAATAAGGTAACATCAAACCTAAAGCAAGGTAACATAACAACAACAACAACAACAACAACAAACATCCTCTGATAAAGAAAAGCTCTAGAATGGCACACTTATAACATGCAATAAAACATAACACTCATCAATCCTTAATAGCATCAACATCAACAGTGAGTTCATTAGGCTCTCTACTATTAAGCGAATCAACTCGAGGACAAACAAGTTGACTTGGATGAACTTAAGTAGGAGCTGAAGTTGTAGACTTGATCATTCTCTATGTGAAGGAGCTCCAATAGGTTCATGTTTTGCTGAGATTTTTTGGCCAAGTGAATGACAATATTTAGCTATGTAACCAAGTTAAAATCACCAGTAACATGTATGAGAGCCCATCAAACATTTAAATTTATGATGGTTTCACATTTGGCGCAAGTAACTCTAGTACTTCGAGAAATATAGCCATTAAATCTATCAGAACTAAAGTTGGGCTTCTTCCAATTTAATCCCTTTGATTAACCCACATGTTTTCATTCATCAATACTCTTTCTCTTGTGTGTCTCCTTATGCTTCTAAATAACCTGAAAATCAATCTCTACCCGTCTAGTCTGCTCCACTAACACTAAATAATCATTAATCCTCAAAGGCACTCATGAATTTCATATTGAATCAATTAATCCAAAAAGGAATTAGTAGTATTTATCTTCTGCGGTAGCTATCAACTATGATGCATACCTCAATAATGTAGTGAACTCTGATTCATAATGCATAAAAGTCTTCTCTCATTGCACCAACTTGATGAATTTGTCTTGCATCTGTCTTGAAATAGATATGGGTAGAGACCATTCTTTGAAAAACTCCATAAAATCTTCTCAACTTACAATCAAGTTGGGTATATCCCCTTGTCTGTCCTGACACTGCACACGCCACCAGTTTTCAGTTTCTCAATTTATCATAATGTCAAGTTGTCTAGTATTTTTTTTACCCTTATCAGCCAGTTATTCACTTCAATCGAACCTTCAATTCAATTGAACAAAGATGGACGTGGATCTTGAAATGTTTTTAAATACTTATCCACAGCAACTATATCACTCCCACCAAGTTGTGATCCTCCTTAATCAACTTTCATTGCGCAATCATCTGGGTCAAAGCATTCGTGCTCAAATTTATAGCATATGGTACTTTTTCATTTCTTATCGGACTTCCCTCTCTTCTAAATTCTTGGGTGCATCCATTTTCCTGAATTAAAATAATCATTTAATTAATGTTAACTTAAATTTTCTATTTTATTTTATTTTTTTAATTATCCTATTGGCTCTTTCATTGATATTGTATTAATTAATTCTAAATATTGACTCCTATACCACTTTTATCACGACCTACCGGAGACTTGAAATTAATCAAGGCGGGAACAGACGATCAAACAGTTTTCCATTCGTTTTTTTTTCAAAAAACTATTCTTATATAATGAACACTTCTCTTTCCTCCCAATACAGCCCACATAGCATTCATCCTTTCCTTACTTTCAGTACTTCTATTCATCTATGTCATCAAGAAACCAACTACGAATTTATAAAAAAACATATGGCTCAACGCTGGTAATTCTAGACATCAGTAAATCCAATAATGGCTACAAGAAAAATAATAACAATATAAAATTAAATATATAATTAACTTATTGGTATTGTATTTAGCCACAGTAAAACCACGAATATAAAGGGGCGAGGAGGGTGACAATGCATGCTAAGAAAACCTATAGAAAATAGTTCATTTATTCAATGATACGTCTCATTATACATTAAAAAACCAAGCGTTAAATTAAGAATCTTCATTCAGGCTGCTGACGCTTAACATTTATGTGCACTCGATATTGAAAGCATGTAAATTTATAAAAAGGGATAAATATTTTAAGGCAATAATTCTCCTATCCAAAATCTAATACATTTTAAATAGCACATGTGGCCATATAGACATTTTCTATGGGTAATTTAGAAGGATATAGGAAACATAAAAAAAAAATAGCAGGGTTGCATAAACCTAATATGAATTCAAATCGAGAAGAACTTCTAGAGTCTGAAGCTCTCCCAATCAAAATAAAAAACTTTTCTACACGTCAAGTGTTTATGCATATAGAAAAGGTTGGAGAGACTTTTCCATATAAGCAAATTGTTTTTTTTCTGGAAAAACTTTATGCAGCTCCAACATAAAGCTCCACTCTCAAGAAGACACATTTCCATTTTATATCACTATCATCATAATATTACAAATCTTCTAGAAAAAAGCATAGAGCCTTGAATAAAAGTTTGATGTTTTAACTCCCTTCAATTTTGCATATGATTTCCTGTAAAACAGGCAAGTAACCTCTTTCTCAAGCTCGAGCAATAACGCAAGAAATATCATCTGGCAGTGTGGACCGTACCTCGCATAAGAATGCCTACCTCATTTTAAGAAGGCCTGATGAAGTGTCCTGACTAAGGTTATTTGTTAATCTGAATGAAATAACAACGAGAAGAAGAAAAGCAGGCTCGCATCAAGATTCATGCTAAACCTATGCTCAAAAAACAATAGATTTGATCTATTTCTGCAATATATTTTACCCCTATAACCTGAGGCAGATCTGGGTTGTAGGAAAGAACAGTAAAGTGTTGAATTCAATTAGAAAAGCATCAAACTAGGCCCCTCTAAGACAAATAAGTAAAAAAAACATAATTGATTTTTTACCCTGATAGCTATAGCTTATAATCAAGATAAACGGATAAATTAAAATTAACAAGATAAACAAAGTTAACTAGCCAATAACACTAACTTCAATTGTAATCCACCATTTGCTGCTCAGGCTCTCTACCAAGTTCAGACCATTTGAAATCCGTGGGCCAGTAAACATCGGAGAGAAACATCTTTTCAAATTCAGATACGTATCTATAAACTTCAGGGAAATTTACATTGTATCGTTCAATTCCTATGTATTTACATATCTAACACCTAAACTTCAATTTTAACATATATGCCACCGTACCTATACATGAAAAGGTATCTTTAACTTTTTAAAATGTAAAATAGTGGTATTTTTTATGTGATATGAAAGATTTGGGTCTTATAAATGTAAGAAAATAAAGTTTAGGTATTAATATGTAAATACACAGGAATTGAGTTGTATCTATGTACATGCCCCTAAACTTTAATGCAATTACATTACCTAAAAGGGTATGATGCAGCTAATTAGAGGAAGAAATATGTTTAGAATGATATAACCTCAGGAGTAGAGCGTCCTCGTCATTTCCATCTAACTTCAAGTCATATGTTGGGCCTTTGTGTGCCTGAATGGAGCAAAGTGGACCAGCCGACAAAACTACAGGTGCAACCCTGACATTTGCTTAATATATATCATTATAATGAAGAAAAAAAACTCATATATTTGTTCTAATAGAAAACATGTTCACACATCTTAAGAAAGATTCATCAAAACTTCAAAACTTACTTTTGATCGGTCTCCTTGCTACAAAGCATAGGCTGCAATAAAAATGAAATTTTGTAACTATTTTCTATAAACTTTTATATTATGCTTCTATAAAAACAATTTTCAGCTGTCCAAAATATTACTGGTTCAACTGCACATACCCATTGGTATACAAAAATGCAATTGCAAACTTACCCAAGTCCAGATCTCCCAATATGGAAGATAGCTATACAAATTATATAGCAGAGGTCTATTATTGCACCCTCAACCAAATAATATTATTACGAGAACGATCACTAAATAAGGAACAAAAATTAAAAATTAGTTTAAAATTGGAAATGCTGCACAGCTTATAAAAAATATGGTGTTATTTGATATCAAGTTTTAAGCAGGATTTAATTAGGAATTAGCATAAGTCTTATCAAATTATTCTTTTCGTTTTAAATCTTATTATGCCATGTAATCCCGTTTTCATCCCATTTCAAATTAATTTTCAGATTTAATGAATCTCACTGGAGCCAGGAACCAATGTAATTTAACTACTGAAGGCTTCTCTCTTATGAGTTGTATAGTCCTCCGCCACACACAAACGGTTGAAGACCTGGCTCAGACTTTTGGCCACGATGGATGCTTATCAAGCACTTTTTGTTGTTTGGGGCTATAACTATAAGAGATTAGAGGAGGGAGTTATTTAATTTAAGTTTTTGCTGATTTAAGGAGAATGACAATAGATAGCTGCATTTGCAGGAAAACAAGAGAAATTATGCTGATAAATGGAGCCTATAGATTTCTGACATTGTTTTAATGATTAAGTTTCTTTAGAAATAATTCCAGTCTCCATCCCTTGATCATACTAATGAAAATAAATTTATTGCAACTGCTATCATCATGTGATCCATGTCTTATCCAAAACAAATTTTGATGCTTTATATGTTGAGTGATGTGCTTTTTTTCTTATTTTTCTGTAAAGTTTATGCATCACATCAGTTTCCCTATCCGTTTTAGGTTTTTCTATTCAATTAAATCTTGAATACAAAAAGCCAAATGGTAAGCCATATTTTTTATGCCTTACAAGTTGTCATACCCAACAATTTTCAAAATTTAATGCTGAAGTTTAGTAAATACTACTTTCCATGATATAAGAATAGATTGTCTGGCATCCTAACTTAGGTAGGATTTAAGCATGTTAAATTCTGTCAAATTAAATTTTAAGGGATTTAAATCCATATTTTTAGATAAATTCCGTTTTAGCCTGTTAATGGTTATTCAGGATTAACATCTTCAATATGATAAATACGCTCCTTCGCTGGGCTGGCAAAATTAAGATCAGAAATCCAAAATTTCATAAACCCGCGAAACTTGCTCACTTATTATGTGAGTGGATTTCGTAAAGCCGGCCATAAATACTGTTAATAGGCGCTACCAAACACCCCATGAGAATTTTTCCCTTCATATTTTTTTATCTGTGACAAATATTCAAATAATTAATGAACATATAACAAAACTTAACAGTTGTCATGCAAAGAAAAATTTCACATTTCAATCCTTCAAGATTTATTAATCTTAAATTACCAAAACATCTACAAAATCCTAAGCTAGCCTCTACTTCTACCCAACCAGCCTCTAAATACTACTCCCGAGTTAACCTCTAATTGTAGCCAAACAGCTCAGTTACGTTTAGCATTAACATCCTCTCTTTGTTGATATCTCAAAATCGATACCTTAGAATTAAAGTAGAGAAAGCATTTCGCCCGTCATTGTAACTCAACCACGGCAAACAAGCAATTGCAGTTGAAGGCAATGAGCAATCAAGAGTACAGAAATAACTCTTACCCGTGGACAGGAAGCGATGCAGGACGCGATTGAATAGGCTGACAGAGATCCATCGCTAGCTGCCACGAGTACGATTTCAGGATTAGGGTTTACGGAGGGAGCAAAAGCGGTCCTGAAGACAATGCGAGAGCTAAGCTCCCTCTCGATAAGAATGCTACGCCGGTAGCTTTCTTCGTCCCACTGCCTCGCATCTCCTCCACCCCGTCCGCCAGTGTTTCTTCCGACCTCCATTATCGAAGTGTCGGTCCTCCGCCGTGTCTCGGGAAGATCGGTAAGAGCGGTAACCGGAACTGAAAGAACTAAATTTTCAATTAGGGTCGAACAAAGTTGAAGCAAATGATATAATAAATAATTAAATTTAATTAATATAATTGAAATAATATAATTATGATATATTAATATCATTTTTTACCAATTCAACAATTAATGTTCTAATTTAAGATAATAATTTAGAATATTTCAAAAAATATTCTAAAAAATCTAACACATGATATTTTATTTTTCTTAATTTAAATATTTTATTTATGTTCATCTCATCAAAATAAAATGACTAAAGTTAAATAATATTTGAATCAATCAGTTCTTTAAAAATCAAAACGATTTATCAGTTTTTCAGCTCAACCCCAATTTAATTTTAAGTTTATGCATAAATGGTTCTGAGCTTAGATCAAACCAGTTGAATAACTGGTTCATGGTTGAACCGATCCAACCAGTCAGTCCCATTCGCTTTTCAAAACCAAGATCTTATTATTAAAATTTGTATAATTAAAATAGTATCATAATCCCTTAAATTAGAGCTTAAATATTTTTAAAAGCTCTAGCTTATATTAGATGATAAATATTTTTAAAATTTTTTGAAATTTAGGACTAAAACGAACTCATAAAAATAGTTGAAAATTATCTACCATTTTGCTCTTTGTATTAATATCACTAGAGGGTAGAGAAAGTTTGTATTTCGAGAGCAAATGGAATACTTATATTTTTACTAGAAAATATCTAAAATATATATATTTCAGGAGAATTATTTTTTTTTTACACTTTAAATATAAAAGGTGAACCATTTATTAAGAAACATCTAAATTTTTAAAAGTGGGATATTGTCATGTGAAACATGGATTACCACTTGATAAGAAGGCTTTATTACATACTCCACGAGTCGCTTTGTGATGGGATGATTTAAAGGAATGATCTGAGGCTATTATACGAGTCTCGACCATCCCTAATGTGCCCAACAATTCGAGTACCACACCCTCCACTGGGGAAATCGAACCCCAAACCAGAGGGGACTTACAAGTGACAAGCAGATGCCCGACCAGCTAATCTAAGTACGCGGCGCAAATTTTGATGCACACACACACATATAAGCTATTTGTACAACCAAAATTGATTACTTGGATCAATGAAGTCGAATATCACTTAGTCTGAGTAACACTCAGCTCTTCCTCCAGTACAAGCCAATCGAGTATGAAGGTACGAAAGAGGACAATGAAGAGGTTGGCTCAAAATATTATAAAGTTATATTGAATGAGCCAAAAAGTTAATGGGTCAAATGTTGATTGACTAACTACAAGAGGCAAAGTAGGAGGTGAAGCAAGAGAGGCTGGGCACGAGAAGCACCGGAGATTGAGAATCTTCCCGTTTACCAGATAAACCAACCAGGAGAAGATATCTCAAAGACCCCAATTTAATGGGAATATTACCAATAAGACAGTCATACATGTGTATGGGTCTGTAATTGATGTATGTTTAAATATATTATTTTATGAAAATCAACCCTTATAAATAGACGGTATTAAATATAAACCAGAATCTCGGATCTTACGATTTGAACCCCGGGATTGTAGATTTTCGTTCTATGCTTACATGAGCCAAGAAAAAAATCCTTTATGATCTCCCCCATCCTACTCATTTTTACCTTAACTCTGTGTCTCAGCCTCCCTCCCTCCCTCCCTCCCAATGCTCTATTCCTTAGGCATGATTCAAGGACAAATATAAGTTCAATACCCTAAAAATGCACAATAAGTGTGAATCGTGCCACAGAAAATAAAAAAAAGTAACACAAAAAGAAAAACTTAGCCATTGAGAAGTTGCAAGCAACTTGGAGAAAGCAAATCCATGAGCTCAAAGTGCAGATGATGGAAATTATAAGAGAGATGCTCGTTCAAGCAATAGCTCTGCCACATTTATTGGCATCCCCCACGCGTCAAATGAGGGAACCTACCACCATTGCTAGAGAGCCCCTTCGTTGACCCAGAGTGATGTTTCATACCATCACTATAGCATGGGTTTAGCCCTATCAAATTATGGTAGATGGAAGCTTATCGAGATATCACAACCTTTTCAACCGGAAGATGCCTTTTCCAAGGAGATCGTTGAAGCTTAAGCTCTTGAGTGATTCAAGAATTCATCCTTAGAATCCTATCAAGGAAGATTGGAGCCTTCTAACCACATCACCTCCTTCGATATTATTGTTTTTTTGGTGAGAAGCAAGGATACATTGAAGTGTCGTCTTTTCTTCAATACAATGAAGAAGAAAACCCTCTAATGGTTCAACAATTTGTAATTATGACTGATTAGCTCTTTTGTAGAGTTCAATATGATATTTATAACACAGTTTGTAGATGCACATAAGCCCACATGCATTTGAAGGTACGGTTGCAACTTTGTCAGGAGCATTGAGAGTCTTTGTATGATTTTGTTACTCACTTATAGAAGGAAATCCTGGAAGTGTGAAGCTTAGAATCTACTGTCTCTCCCACCTCCCTTTCTCAAGGTCTTAAAAAAAAATCTTTTCTACTATGTATTAGGCTTGGAACCAAAGATGTTCGTCAAGCTTTTGGAACTCACAAATAGCCACATATCAGCAAAAGAGTGCAATTCGTGTTAGGTCACCCCAAAGTTTTAAAAATTGAAGAAATCACCTTCGAATATGAACTTTCTAAGGAAGCAAATGGAAGTTGAATCACCCATTGTGACCAGCGACCACTCCCATGTTTAAAGAGCATCATTCTCTCCCTTTTCATGGGATGCCTGACATGCAAGAGAACGAAGTTTGCTCCTTGGAAGGATGAGCTTGGTATCAGGAGAGGCAGATAGGCTGATATTTTGGAAGGAGTCCCACACCTCAAACTTATGAAATCTAACAACCATCTCGTTTGAGAGTCTTGATAGCTGAGATTATAAAATACATTCAGAATAAATAATTATTGTGGAAACTCATTTTGAATAAGGTAGAAGGAAACTCCAATGACCCAAATACATAAATATATACACCCAAGTTTAAAGAGCATCATTCTCTCCCTTTTCAATGGATGCCTTGTATGCAAGAGAAGGGAGTTCGCTCCTTGCAAGGACGAGCGTGATATCAAGAGAGGCAGATAGACTGCCATTTTGGAAGGAGCTCCACACCTCAAACTTATGAAATCTAACAAACATCTCATTTGGGAGTCTTGATAGATGAGATTATAAAATCCATTTGGAATAAATAATTATTGTGGAAACTCATTTTGAATAAGGTAGAAGGAAACTTCAAGGAACCAAACACATACATATATACACACGAACAAACAAACGCGCGCGCGTGCACACACACACATTGTGTCAGCAACGGGTACCACGGGCATGACACCAAGGAGCGTCAGTGCCTTATGTGCTTGATTGAGGAATTGATTTTGGCTAAAAAGTTGAAGGAATTTATAGTGTCACGGGTGTTGTCTCGACCATTCTTGTTGGAGAAAATCAAGGCCTATTGACAAACCGATCTAAAGAGACTCTGCTCATAAGAAATTTACATGACAACCTCATCCGAGTGACAAGCCTTGCGTCATTCATCCATCATCTTTAGGGAGGAAGACCTACCTACTAATGCAAATTTATACAACAACGACATTGAAATCATGACTATGTTCACCAACTTCCAAATTGATATGAGTTTAATGAACATCTTGTTCAAATTTGTCCTTGATAAGATGAACCTAGGGATTGCACATCTCTTAAATACATCCAATTCATTATATGGCCTTCTAGAGAAAGGAAAGAAATGTTTGGAGTCTTAACTTTGCTTATCGTCTACGATAAGGATGATAAATCATTTAATTTCATGGCTTACTTTGTCATAATCCACTTGTTAACAAAATATAATTCCATCTTTGATTTTATCCTCCTCAACACCTTCAAATGTTGTCATCTCTATATACTATATAGCAGTGAAGTTTCTACGAGATGGTAAAGTGATCATTGTCCAAAGTAACTTGGAAATTTACACATTTTCTACCAGGAAGTGTGCATTGAGAAACCTTGAAGTTGGTGTCCATAAAGAAAGTAGTATGGAGACTAGTGAGACAATTGAGGAGGCCCGAACAACAATCAAAGAATGTAATATGTTTTTCAACTAAGCTTGGCTTTTAATGCAGAAGAGAACATTACTACGCTCCGGAAGTATCACAACGTGTTCACTTGGTCAACTGAGATGTCAAGAACATTCACCAATCAAAGAGCAAGAGATTTTGTACAATACACCACCTATTGATTTAAATTGTGCAAGCATTTTTCAAATGTAAAGCTCCTCTACTCATGGCCAAATGAGCCCGAGGAAGCCAAGACAGTTAGCTTATGAAGTGAACCCCAAGCCAGGTCGACCCCCGACGGATTCACACCAATTGCCACCATGACCGCAGGTGCATCTGTCTGAGCAATACTAAATAAGTCATATTGGCTAGAAGTTGGGTGGACCCCCCTTTGCTTTTCTATAAACCTTTATGTTTTCTCATCTTTTTTGTGCTCCTTCTTGCCGAACATACAACAAAGAATATTTTTATCTGATATGTTCACTAAGGTTTACCATAGCAAGCAAACACGAGCAAAGAGGCAACAAAATAATTAAAGAAGGATGTTGAAGCAAATGGGCTCAATAGATGTCTCATCACTCTATTTATAAGTTAGAGATCTCGGAATCCAAGAAAGTATTCATATAATGAGCATCTATGAAAATTCAAGATCATCATTCTAAGATACAAAGAATCGAGAAACTAAATATATGTGACCAAAAGTAACCACCCAAAGTACCAGAGACCGAACATCTCTCAATCTGCTCATCAGTATCATGAACGACTACTTAGATCAATAGCGAGTTAAACGGCTCTCAATCTATCTTCCACCTGAAGCTAATCAGACAAAACATTTAACTTGGATTCTCGATTCGAGCCAAGAACTGGAGATGAATCGTGTCGACGGATAGTTGTGGTCTATAATTATTTGGTTGGAGGAATTA